TCACATCTTTGTGTATATACATCTAAACTTCTTCTAAGTCTTTTCAGGCGGCTTATAACACATTTATAACCCCAGTATAACCCTCTTCTAACTTGGCTAAGTGCGATTCCTCGTCTTCGTACCTGCCTGTGATTCTACGGGTCCTTTCCTTCTTTCCAGAAGCATGGGTTCTCTAGGTAGGCTGGAGAGGGCCGTCACCCGTTCAGAAGCATCTATCATCGTGATGTCTATCCTCGGATCTGTACCTGAACCGTCGACCACCACGCCCGAACCCCATGATAGAGATTCCTCTACCCTAAACCCTGAACCGTTTTCATGAGCGGAAAGCGACATGCTATTGAACGCTTAGAAATTCCTTGAAAATGCAGACAGGAAAGCCCAGAAGGACCAAACTGTAACGTAGGGGCCTAACTAATTACCAATACCAATATGGGGGCTCCTTCTTCTTATCATTATTGTAGTATATGACTATAATATTGTAATGAATAGTGGGCCTCAAAACCCTATTCTAATTATTAAGGCCCCTATATTACCCTAAACCCTGAACCCCAAAGCATGGGAGGATCCGATGGCCTCAACAAGCATTGAGGCAGCTTGGCTTTGGTTTCAATGTTTCGGGTTGAGGTTTTGGGTTTGTGCACACGGCCTGAGGTGTTAAGGGTAGGGTTAGGGTTTAAGGTTTAGGGTTAGGGTTCTGAAGCCTAGACCTCAGCCGTAAGCCCTAAAATCCTAAGCCCTGATACAGGGTTTTGCGTTTCAGGGGTTGTGAACCCTAAACACCCAAAAAAAGACCCTAAACCGTGTGTCGTAGAAGAAGCGACCGACCAGGGCGGCCCATGGTGTTTTCTAGGAGGGCAGGGAAGCCGTAAGTAAGCTTAGGGTTTGGGGTTTAGGTTTTAAGGTTGTGCTCTAACCCCTAAACCCTAAACACCCAAAGCCTAAATTAGGACTCAGATGTTGAGGATGTCTGGTATTGTTTCTCGGCATCTTGGAGATTCTGGAGTTTGTATGGGTCAAGTTCTCTAAAGTACGGTCAGGATCCAGTTTTAGGTCCCCCAAAAGAATACGGCACCCTTATTGAAGGAGCCTTCAACGGGACCTTAATATGCAGAACTACCCATACGTAGCCCTTTTTTGTTATCCCTTTATAGAAACCATATCAAAACCGTTGCAGATTCGGTTGTAAGGTTTAGGGGATTAGGGTACCCGAAACCCGAAACCCTAAACCCTAAAGCCCTAAACCTTAAACCCTAAACCCTACACCCTACACCCTAAGCGCTAGACCCTAAAACCCTAAGCCCTAAACCCCTAAAAGGGAGCCTGGGTTGGAGAACTGCGCCATATCGGCTCTCGAAAGGTCGAAGAAGCGATTCAGGGCTTGGAACCGAGCTTAGGGTTTAGGGTTTATGGGTTTGTGGCTAGAATTTAGGGGTTGGGGGTTTAGGGTTTAGGGGTTAGCGGTTAGGGGTTTGGGGTTCGGGGTTAGGGTTCAGGGGTTTGGGTTTAGGATTTAATAGGGGTTGGGGGTTCGGGTTTCGGGTTCAGGGTTTAGGGTTGAGGGTTGAGGGTTGAAGGTTTAGGGTTTAGGGTTTAGGGTTTAGGGTTTAGGGGTTTGGGTTTAGGGGTTAGGGGTTTGGGTTTAGGGTTTAGGGTTTAGGGTTTATGGTTTAGGTTTGGGGTTTAGGGTTACCGGTGCTTCTCCCTTTAAAAGGTTTACAGAGATTGGGGTTTAGGGTTTAGGG